GATGAACTGCTTTACATCTTGATTATGGTGGTAGTTACATAACTATGCTTTTTGCCAAAACTCACATAATTGTACACCAAAACAAGTGAATTTTTCTATGTATAAGTTTTAAAAGTGGGGGAACAGGAAATTAACATCGATACAGTGTTACTAGCTTATCTATAGAACTTATTCAGATTTTCCCAATTGTTCCAATAATGTCCTTTATACCATTATGTCATGATGCCCACCCAATAGTTACCTGTCAAAATCAAATGAAATTGAGGATCGGGAGGAAGAAAATTGTGGGTATGGGCTAGAGAGGCAGTACTTATCCTGTTAGGTGCAGATCACTGTTTTTCAGTATATAATTCTGTATAGGGAAGTTTACCATCAATTTTGCTTTAACCCCCCAAAATAATCTCAGATCACAGGTTGCATTCAGTTGTCATGTCTCTTTAGTTTCCTTTCACCTGAAACAGATCCTTAGTCTTTCTTTGTATTTCATGACGCTGACATTAAGTACAGACTAGTAATTTTTTAGACTGTCCTTCAATTTGGGTTAGTCTAATGTTTTCTTATGATCAGATTGAGATTATGTGTTTTGGGCAAGGTTACCTCAAAAGTAATAATGTGTTCTTCTCGTACATGATATTAAGAGGCACATAATGTTTTATTTGTGAGGTTTTTTTTTAAAAGATTTTATTTATTTGAGAGAGAGAGAGAGAAAAAAAGTGATCACAAGCAGGGGAAGGGTAGAGGGAGAAGCAGACTCCCCACTGAGCAGGGAGCCTGATGCAGGGCTTGATCCCAGGACCCCGGGATCATGACCTGGGCTGAAGGCAGTCCCTTAACCAACTGAGCCACTTAGGTGCCTAAGAGGCACAATATGTTAAGGTGGTGTCTACCACATGTCTCTACTGTGAGGTTATTGTTTTTCCTTTTGTAATTATTAAATATCTCATGGAGCCGTATTTTAAGATTATGTAACTATCCTGTTATTTGTTTAACTTTCACCCACTAATTTGTGGCATGAGTCTTGCTTTTATCAAGTGGTTACCCTTAAATAGAAGTTACTGGATATGATTTAGTTTGATGGCCCAGACAGTTAATGAACGTTGCTTATTGGGATGCATCATGATAAAGATAAGAGGGATAACTGTGCTGCTGAGCTCTCCTGGGTGATGTTGGAGAACACACAGGCTTTGAGAACCACTGAGGTGACCACTTAGATATACAAGGGTGTTTCATCATTTCCCTCCACCCTCAAGACTGTAAACTATTCATCTCCTATTTGCTTTTTTGCTGGCTTTCTGGCTCTCCTCTTCACTATTAGAAGGGTACCTTACTCCTTGCTCCTCATATCATGACTTTTTAATGACCCTACCTCTATTTTAAGGTCACAACAGAGTCAAATTTAGTGATATCCACTCAACAGCTCCTCATCTAAATCAGATAAAATAGAGGGTCAGGAGGAAGAAAATTGTGGATATGGACTAGATGCTGTTCATTCTATTACATTCACATTACTATTTTTACTATGTAATTTAGTACATAGTTTACCATCAGTTTGGTTTCACCCCAAGTCACCTATAGAGTAAAAATGTGATTTATAATAACTTCACTATTACAAACTTCTACCAAAAAGTAACTAGGCTCCCAAGTTTATTATGATGACATTTTAATAAAACATAATTAATTTTGAAATATAGGACTTTACATTGAATTAAACCAGTTTGGATTGTAAATGATATTTTATTTAAAGGAGGGTGGAACTTCATGGTCTGGGGAATAGTTACTTGCAAGTTTTAAGTTTATAATTCAATACTGGCTTAAGTTTGTATTATATAAACCACTTAATTTTAGCATTCAAAATTATTTGTACTTTATTTTTTTTAAGTTAAATACACAAGTTGATTTTATTGGTTTAATGTTGACCTTTCCCTTCCTCTGTTTATCTTAAAGTGGCATATATTGGTAGTTTCCTTATTTGGAATGCTTCACAGTCATTAGTTCCACTGTGTTTCTCTCTGATTTTTTTATAGATAGACTACATTACTTTTTTTCAAAATGGGGAGAAAACCCAGTGAGAACTCTGAAGTTTTTGAGTCTCTGTGTCTTGCTTATAGCATAGCATGTTTGTTCTTCTTTGTCTTTATTTTAGGGACCATAGTGGTCCCTATAGTGGTCATCACAAATGTCAGATATCAACTTAAATCTCAATGGAAGATTTCTGACCAAAAGGAACGCCTTATAGTACTGGCCTGTCACACCAAGTACAGGCAATGCACAAGGCATACAGATGTTGGCCACAGAGGTATAAGGTCCTTAAAATGACACTATAAACATGCTGCTTATCCTTTAATATCTTTTAAAATATAATATTTGATAGAAACCACTATAAGTTTAAAATACAGTTATGATCCTATACTAATAATTTCATAGTTGTATGAAAATTTTCACGTAAACTCATATTAGAAATAACTTCTGCATCTAAAAATAAAGTAGTTCCCCAGTTAGAATGTGATGAATATATGTAATGTAATGAGTATATCAAAATTTTTTTAAACTTGCAAATTTAAAAATATTAACACTGCGAATGTAGTTGTGGAAAATAGAACCCAAGTAATTTGTATTTGGATTTTCTCTATTTTGCCTTGCAGATAGTGCCTTACATGTGTTGATTACCAAATTTTTTTCCAACTGTTTTATATTGTGGTAAAATACATATAACATGGGGCACCTGGGTGGCTTAGTCAGTAAAGTGTCTCCCTTTGGCTCAGATCATGATCCCAGGGTCCTGGGATCAAGCCCCACATCAGGTTCCCTGCTCAGCTGGGAGTCTGCTTCTCCCTCCCCCTCCCCCTGCTCGTTCCCTCTTTCTCACTCTCTCTCAAATAAATAGTCTTTTTTTTTTTAAGATTTTATTTATTTGAGAGAGAGAGAATGAGAGACAGAGAGCATGAGAAGGAGGAGGGTCAGAGAGAGAAGCAGACGCCTTGCTGAGCAGGGAGCCCGCTGCAGGACTTGAGCCCGATGCGGGACTTGATCCCAGGACTCCAGGATCGTGACCTGAGCCAAAGGCAGTCGTTTAACCAATTGAGCCACCCAGGTGCCCCTAAATAAATAAAATCTTTTTAAAAAGTACATATAACATAAAATTTATCATCTTAGCCATTTTTAAGTGTATGGTTTAGAGATATTAAATAATACTCATAATATTTTGCAACCATCACCCCTATCCATTTCCATAACTTTCCATCTTGTAAAACTCAAACTCTATATCCATTAAACAATAATTCCCCGTTCCCCCACTTCTCCCAGCCCCTGGCAACCACCATTCTGCTTTCTGTATGATTTTGACTACTCTTAAGTATCTCATATAAGTGGATTCATATAGTAATTATCTTTTTGTGACTGGCTTATTTCACTTAGCGTAATGTCCTCAAGGTTCATCCATGTTGTAGTATGTACCAGAATTTCCTTACTTTTTAAGGCTGAATACTGTTCCGTTGATGTATTACACCACATTTTATTTATCCCTCCATCAGTCATTGGACACTTGGGTTGCTTCCATGTTTTAGCTATTGGGGTTAATGCTGCTCTGAACACAGGTGTACAAATTATCTCTTGAGACTCTGCTTTCAGTTCTTTTGAGTATATACCCAGAAGTGGAATTGTTGGATCATATGATAATTCTGTTTTTAATTTTTGAGGAACCACCATACTGTTTTCCACAGCAGCTGTATCCTTTTATATTCCCACTAACAGTGCATAATAGTTCTAATTTCTCAACATCCTTGCCAATATATATTTTGGTTTTTGTCTGTTTTTGATAGAGCCTTCTTAATGAATGTGATGTGGTGTCTCTGTGTAGTTCTGATTTACATTCCTGAAATGATTAGTGACGTTTGAACATCTTTTCATGTGCTTGTTGGCCATTTGTGTATCTTCTTTAGAGAAATGTCTATCCAAGTCCTTTGTGCATTTTTGAATTGGGTTGCTTGGGGTTTTTTGTTTGTTTAGTTTTACAACCTCTCTATATTCTGGATTAAAAAAAAAGATTTATTTTAGAGTGTGCATGCATGCGCACATGAATTGGGGAGGAGGGGCAAAGGGAGGGGGAGAAAGAGAATCCTAAAGCCTACTCCCTGCTGAGCGCAGAGCCTGATGTGGGGCTCCTCCCAGGACCCCAGGATCATGACCTAAGCTGAAATCAAGAGTCAGCTGCTTGACGAGCCACCCAGGCACCCCTATATATTCTGGATATTAATCCTTCATCAGATACATGATTTGCAAATATTTTCTCTCATCCCATGGGTTGCTATTTTATTACTCTGTTGATATTTAGAATTCTGAAGTTGCTTTCAAGTGGATTGTTGTTTTTTTCCCCTCTTCTTAAGTATTTAAAAATCCCATTGACATTTATGGTCTTCTAGCTGCCGTTTGAGGTGATAGTGGAAAGAATGGACTCTAATTTTAAACCATTGATGAAATGATGTTGTTTTGAACTAAGTCCTATGTTATTTTTAATAAAAGAAAATCAAATCTGAGAAGAGGAAGAAGAGAAAGAACTATTTATTTTAGGATCCAGACTTTGAGAATTTCTAGTGACCAAACACTTACTATAGTTTAAAACTAATTACTTAAAAGAGAAGGTAATAATCATGGTTTAAGTTATTGCCAGCTAAATATAAACTGGAGCTTTCTTGTGTCCAGTGTCAACCTGCATTTTCAAAGAGCAATAAACTAGATTTCTAATGACTATGATCTGCTGGGCAGTGCTTAAATATACATGAAATACTTTCCACCTAGGTCCCTACTTACATTTATTTATATACATGGGCATATGTTTTCTTCTACATAAGTATATGTCTGTATGTATATAAATCTTCAAATGAATAAATGCAGAAATATACATGGTATTCTAGCTTACAGAATTAGAAATGTAATTCAGTTTACTCCCACAGAATAAGATTGAAGATAATGAGAACTGAATTAAAGCTTACTTTCTTTCACAGAATTCCTCAGAGAGAGAAGACTGTAATAATGGCGAACCCCCTAGGAAGATAATACCAGAGAAGAATTCACTTAGACAGGTATGAAATTCAGTCTGTCTTAAAATAAAAAGCTACCAACAACAAAACAAGAGACAGGAAACCCTCAATTTGCCATTCGTTAAGCACTGGAGCTTAAATTAAAAGTACTCTGAAGTTGAGGTGGCTATAGCCATCAATTTCAATCCGGTAACATTGTTTTCCCGGTCATTTAAAAATATCCTAGGTGTACAAGTACAGGACAGGTCGATTGCTATGGTTAGTGAGAACAACATCAAAGAAAAGTTTTCTTGTTCAAGGAAAATAACTTGAAATGCTTCTTAAGTGCAAATAGTAGAATAGTTGGCTTTAAATCTTATTTTCCTTTTGAGATTCTTAATACATTTTTTAAAAATTAACAATCAAAAGGGATCTGCTCTAGTGAAGTTAGCTCCTTTTAGTCTGAGCAGTATTTGTTTTTGCCTTTTCTAAAAGTAAAGGCCATTATTGATAACTTTAAAAAAATTTTTTTCCTCACTGTACGCCACTCCCCAAAGGTAACACATTTTACTTTGAAAGTTAATTCCATGGTGCTCTTTTTTTTAAAATTAAAATATCCAAAAACATTTGCTTAAAAAGTTTGCTCTTCTCACTGCCTTCAGCAACCTCTAACATCTTCTGTCTCCCACTAGCAACAAAAACAAATTCTTACAGTGTTGCCAGATAATAGGTATACCACCTCTTCACTTTTAATATAAAGTTGGATAAAGTGAGCACCAGCAGTAGCCAAAATAATTTCAATTTACTTACACTTACGGCATTCTTAGGAAAAAAGAAAAGAGATCTAATATTTGTTTAGTGCCCACCACAAACCTGCTATTTGTTTCATTCCATCCTCACAATCACCCTACAAAGTTGGTAGATAGGGCCTCTGATTATAGATGAAGAAAATGGAGACTTCGGGAGGTTGGATGACTTGCTTATTAGCTCATCAGTGATTTAAAACCCAGATCTCAATGTTGCTCAAGCATTTTTACTTCTGCCTTCTGATTCCAGTTCATATTACAGTGTTAATGTAGGGAAAAAGTACTTGACACTGTGATATATTCATTTTTTATTTACTATATGGTAACAATTTGGGGATGGGCACTTTTCCTTTTTGATAAAAATAAGTGTTTAGTAAATAGAACTGAATCCATTCAGGAAGCTTTTATAAAAAACCTGAATGATTAGTAATTGATACTGTGCAGTTACAACTTTAACTATTTGGAGACAAACACCTGATATATAAATCTAAATAAATAGAACAGTATTGAGTAAGATAAATTTAGAGGTGGAAAGACTGCCCACTATACAGAAACAACTGTCAGAAAACAATGACACGAAAAAAGTTTTGGCAACTTTATTTAAGCTAACAAACGAATTTTCACTCTGCAAAGTTATAAATTAATTTTAATAGGCTGATCCAGATGGTCCATTTGGAAAATGGATAGGCTGATCTGTTGAAAATTAAACTAAATTTATCTCTCTCATACTTCAAACTGAAGCAAGAGAGAGAATGGTGCCTATTAAGTCCAGCACATACAGATGGACCAGCAGGTCACACATGGGACTAATCTGATTCATTTTAAAAATAAATGCATACATTATTGAATCATTTTCTACTTGCAAGATCAGTTGTGTGCAGTATTTGAAAGAGATATGCTGTGGCTTTTTCATTGCTTTTTGCAGGTTCACTTCACCCTCTCCACTTTAATATAACAATCATTTTGTTTTTGTTTTTGTCTTTCCTCCGAGTGCTCCAAAATGATTTTTCTAATATCTGTCATTCAGTGTTGAGATCCAAGCTCTGGAGATTAATTAGGTCATGAGGCTTTTTCCCCTCCTCTCTTTTGTAAAGGGTTTTATCTCTATTCTCTTTATGAAGAGCATGAACTCAGTGTTCTTGGAAAGAGAAATGGCCTTTAGAAACAGGGAAGTAGGAGATCCTCCTGGGGCCCTCTGAATCTTTTAGCTTCTGGGTGTTTTAACAGCCCCATGAATGCAGATTTGTAAATTTATTGCAGTGCCATCTGGTTTTTTGCTCGAACCAGATTACTGTTGGCTTGTGTCTGTCTATTGTGGTGGTCACTCCCTAGGAGCTTGCCCTCTCAATCTTAGGGAAGAGTGATGAATAGCAGGGGTCAATAGAAGCGGGTCACAGGGCAGCTGTCCAGGATTGCCCTGAACTTGATTACCCCACTGCTGATTTTTTTAATGTAGGACATAATATATAAGCTGTTTAAACTCCCTCTTTTCTCTGTTGCATGACAATAATGAAGTGCCATTTGCTCCCCACCCACCCCCCTTACTTTAGTCAAGTTGTACAGATAAAAAGATGTCAAGGCTGCCTAGTGTTTTACCTAGTGTTGATGTAAGTAGGATTTGCATCATGTAGGCCAATCCCTTGAAATTCTTTTGCAGATATTTCTAATGGGATTTCAGGAACTCTTTCACTGTTGATTTTAAAATGCTCAGTTAAATTCTAACAAGTTTAGTATTGTTTTAAACTGATTCTATAGTTTACGTATATTGTTCTTAAGTTCACAGGTGATGATAGACTATGACCACTGCGTGGTAACTTTGAGTTATTTAATCATTGGAGGAGCTGAAAGAAGGGTCATCACTACAATTCTTACAGACATTTAAAGGATAATGAGGGGATATTATGAACAACTTTAAACCACAGTTTTGGCAACTTAGATGAAATGGACAAATTCCTTGAAAAATACAGCTTACTGAAACCAATGCAAGGTGAAATAAATTTGAATAGCCTGATGTCTGTTAAAGAAATCACATTATCAAAAGGCCCCCAAATGGGCGCCTGGGTGGCTCAGTTGGTTAAGCGACTGCCTTCGGCTCAGGTCATGATCCAGGAGTCCCGGGATCGAGTCCCGCATCGGGCTCCCTGCTCGGCAGGGAGTCTGCTTCTCCCTCTGACCCTTCCTCCTCTCATGTGCTCTCTGTCCATTCTCACTCTCTCCAATAAATAAACAAAATCTTTAAAAAAAAAAAAAAAAAAAAAGGCCCCCAAATGATTTCACTGGTCAATTCTATCAAATATTTAAGGAATAAATAACTTACTCTTGTACAAACTCAGAAAATAGAGAAGGAAAGAACATTTCCTGACTGTATTATGAGGCCACCATAACCATAATTCCAAAACCTGACAAAGACGTTAGCAGAAAAAGAAAATATTGAAGGAGAAAGTCAGGAGACACTACACCCTGTGTCACCAAGCCATTTTGTATACCTGTTTTTCCATTTAATTTCCGATATCAGAAGGCAGGAGAGTTGGTGGGGAAAGACAAGCAATGTATCCTTTTAAGTCTCTGAATTTGGGAATAATCTTACCTCTGCGCATTAAGTAAAGTGTAAACTTTTGTTTAAAGAATGTACACAGTGGCTACAATTTTCTTTCTACTTTTTGTTCCTAAAATGTGAAGCCAAGGAAACCATAGCAACTGTTTTCAGAGCTTTTATTCATATCTGCAAACAAGGGCAAAGGCCTGGGAGGATACAGGAAAGTACTCATTACTTTTTGAAAATGTAGCCTTACAACATGCAACTCCTTCTTTGCTTCACATTGGTGCTAATAGGATCTGTCAGCCCTGCCTTTCTCTGTAATTGAGTAAATTGTGACCTCTGTCTAATCCTTCCCCCATCCCCCATTCCCTTTGTCTATGTGTCCACTTACCATCCTGAGAACGTGGGCAGTGATAAATAAAGCATTGAGTAGAGCTCTCTCAACTCTTTGAAAGCAGCATGATGCCAGCCCTCTAGTTATATTTCTTTAAGTGTTTACGTTTTTCTGTATTCTTTCTCTTGTGTAGCTGGAACCCTGGGGATGCAAAGCCATGAGAGAGGCCAAGAAGCTAACAAAGTAGCTGTCTCCCTTGTTAGCTTGTTCCTTTATTCTTTAAAAACAAGATAAAAACCATCTGGCTCAGGGCATTACATTTTCCTCCCCCATGCACCTCTATAGATGGAGACTTCACCTGCAGTGAGGGTTTACATTGATTAGGGGAGGGAGCCGTAATTCAAGCTTCCATCCTCTTCAAGGATACTTTGCAGTCTTTAAAGGTGCTGACCCACTGAGTTAAACTGTCAAGGGAGGATAAAAAAGTATCTTCATCCCAGGAGGTAACAGCTGCCAGGTTTTCAACACCTTGCACACTGCTGGAAAAATGTCACAATTGTCAGCTGAAAGAAAAATGACTCTGTTGTCATCTTCTGTTAATGACTGGGCCTTATAAAGAGAACTACATAAGCCTTTTAGAAGGAATAAGTAGATGTTTTCCTTTCCTACCACCATGCCCCTAAATTCCTATGTTGTTCTAAATATTACCGTAGAGTAGATCCATAAAAAACAGCAGTGAAGAACTTAAAACAACCCCATATAAGCATGGAGGTCTGATTGGCATAGCTCCTTTATAAAGTTGGATGAGTAGGAGGAAAAAGCACATCACTGACACAGAAAATGACATTATAGTGTGTATTAACAAAACAACAACAACAACAACAACAAAAAGTCATTCATAAGCCAGTGAACTGAGAGAAAACATACTGTATTTCTGCTCTTTGGAGGACAGTTTGTTTTCAGGCAGCATCCAGATGGGTAAATACCACGACATTTCTTTTTTCAAGAAGAGAGCCACTTCTTTTCTTCCTTTAGAAAAAAAAAGAAGAAACTCACTGAATTTACTTCGTTTAACAGCTCTATAATGTTTGTATATGATGGCATTCCCTTCTTTCTGATTTGATTGATGAGGGGAAAAGGTTTAATGAAGTCCCTGATATTAGCCAGGCAAGTTTTTTTTTTTTCTATTTGTTTTAGGTTAGTCATTTTAATTGTATTGAGTAATTAGAAGGTACACACAGCCAGGGGAGCTTTGTTCTGATAATTGCTCAAGAAAACCCATTCCCTATCTGCCGTTGCTTTGTGTTAAGACATTTCTCCCTCTAGTGGCAATAGTAAGCACTTTGACTTGGCAGTAGGCGAGGTGTAATTGCAATATGACAAA